CTACCACTCTGTTTGTAACTCTGTAATGTCTGTACTGATCCTTTGCTATTTTGTAAAACGTTGTCGGTCTGTTAGTATTTTCCTCCTTTTATTTCTAAAATAAAAAAAAAAGCTTTTGCACAGCAAAGAAAATCACCAAAAGAGCAGAAAGACAACCCACAGAGTTGGAAAAATTTTTATCAGCTGTTCGTCCAACAAAGGACTAATATCTAGAACATATGAAGAACTGAAAAAAATCAGACCTTCCCAAATCTGAAGACAGAATCCTAAAATGAGCATCTGAGATTAATATACACTTCTTACATGAAGAAATCAAAAAGGCAAATAAATATATGAAAAATGTTCAATATCACTGGTCTTTTGAAAGGTGTAAATTAAAACAAAGCCGAGATTCCATCTCACTCCAGAAAGAACGGCTATCAAGAAATCAACCAATAACAAATGCTAGAGGGGTTATGGGGAAAAGGGAACCCTTCACTACTGTTGGTGGCAGTGTAGATTGGTCGGTGGGAGTGTAGACTGGTACAACCACTGTGGAAATCAATGTGGAGATTCCTAAAAAAACTAGGATTAGAGGTCCCATTTGACCCAGCCATCCCCCTTCTGGGTATTTTCGCAGAAGAAATGAAAACATCATACACAGTGATATATGTGCACCCATATTTATAGCAGCACAATTTGTCATAGCTAAATCTTAGAAACAACCCATCAAATGAGCAGTGGATAAAGAAGATATGATTTTTTTAAATACAGTAGAGGACTACTCAGTCATAAAGAAGGATAAACTTGAGACATTTATAGCTAAATGATACACCTTGAGACCTTACCCTTAAGTGAAATAAATCAGTCACACGTATGTAAATATTGCACTGTTTCTCTGGTGTGAGAAATAGAAAGTGTAAAGAAGACCAAAATGTATAAAAGATATTGTGAAATAGGAAGACAATGTTCAAATGGGAAGGGTACTAGCAAGGAGGGTGGGAGAGAGGATGGAATGGAAAAGAAAAACATAAGAAAAGAAGGAAAGTTGGAAACAAAGCTTTTGTAAATGGGAAGAGAGATTGAAGGGAGGAGAAGGAAATGGGAAAAAAAGAAATCAAGATATATCATGTACAGGCACAAATTCCCTATGAAGAGTGTGATTATTATGTATACCTAAATTGTGTCAATAAACTTAATTAAAAAAGAAAGTATGACACTTATACACAGTGGAACTCTGTCATAAAGAAAGATAAACTTGAGCTATTTGTAGGAAAATGGATGCACCTAGAGACCACAATGTGAAGTAAAATAAATCAGACACAGAAGCTTAAATATCGTATGGTTTCTCTTATATGAGAATCATGAAGAATTAATAAATTAAAGAACAAAATAAAAGATAAATAAAAGGAAACAGATTTTGCAAGTGAGAAAGGGAACAAGAAATGGAAGGAGAGGGGCAGGGAGGTGTTATCAAAACAGTTAAGATGTATTATGTACATGTTACAAATGCCCACAATGAACACATTCATTATGTATTACAAATATGTACCGATAAAGAGAAAGTAAGATATTACTTTTATTTTTATTTATTTTGTCTTTTTGAGAGAGGGTCTTGCTATGCAGTTCAGGCTAGTCTTGAACTCACTTTATAGCCCAGGCTGGCCTCAAACTCTCAACCATCCTCCTGCCTCAGCCTCCCTCATGCTGGGATTACAGGTGTGCACCACCACGCCTGGTTAAAATATTATTTTTAAAAAGTGAGGTTTTTCTGTTCTCTCATGCCACTCATCCTCGTAGAGGAAGTTAATGGAGATGGCTGCAACCCTAAGTCCACTTCCTGCTTGTTCTGAGGTGTGTGTGTGGTGGGATGTGCCCACCACTGCCAGAGGGAAATGCTGGGAATTAGTATTCCCATCTCTGTTCACTTGGCTGAACTCAGGTCTCATTTCTATTCATGCCTTGTCTCCGTCCATTAGCAAAGTCAGCACTCATAAGAGGATGTGGGATTTTTCTCTTACTGCCCTGCAGAAGGGGATGATACCCTCTGTATTGAGTGGCCATTTGTTTAGTGCTGATGTATGTTACTTCTGCTGCTTTATTTGGCTCTATAAATACTAGTATTTCTTGGGATTGTATGATTGTTGGCTCACTCAAAGTGTAACCCAGTGATTTTCCTGGGTTTCTCTTTCTCCTCATAGAGCTCCATTACTTATAGTTTGGACAATTATCCTGAAGTGACCACACTTGTAATTCTTAATTTTTTCATAAGGTGCCTTGAATTTTCCTTTTATTCTGGGCACGGCAAATTATGTAATTGTTTCTGGGCATGGTTTTTCTTTGACTGAGATTGTATTGTTTACACAATTGTATGTTCATTTTAGAATTATGGACAGCACACCATTCAGGTCAAGAAGAAGAAATCTGTAGAACAAGAAGGGTCAAGGATGCAGCACCAGTCCAAAGTTGAAGGCTTGGAGGCTCGTGGAGAATCATTCATACAAGTCGGTGTAGAAGACAGAAGACACTGGAGGCTGGTCCCACTCTAAGGATCAAGGCTGCTCTCTCACTCTTGTACCAACCTTCAGAGACTCAAAAAGCCTATAAGCCTATAAACTAAGCCTCAACCTATAAAGTAGCTCTTGAGTGGTGTAGGATTGGGACTTGCATGATGATGGTTGTGGGCAGGAAGAGACATGTGCAGGAAAAGTTTGAAAGGCTGTTTCCGGTTCTGTGGTAATGCCGTAAAGTGATTAGACTGTATTTCCCACAACCATCAGCATAGACCCTCAAGAACAAAAGTGGTGGTTGATTTTATAGGAAATGTGTTTTATGGAGGGAATTCTGGGACCAAATGATTTGAGACTGGTCCCTACATGTATAATAACGTGGAATGCTCCAAGTCTCTCTACTCCAAAGCCTTTCCCAACCTGACAAATTGCTCTGCACTAAATCACATCCCCAGAGCTGCTATTATTATTGTTTCCTTATTGACAAGGTCTCTATAAATTGCTGAAGATAGCCTTGAGTTTGTGATGTTCCTTCTTCAATCTCCTGAATAGCTGAGATTGCAGGTGTGGGCCACCAGACTTGAACAGAATTCTGTTCATTAAATCCTATTTAGATAAACCAGTAGATTTTGGTATGAATTATTTGCTTGAAAAGTTTTAGCCTATATAAAGGTATATGGTAATAAAATTCATGTCCATTTTGTTCACCTGCATTCCAGAACATGAAAAGTCATATCAGTAAATTATTTTAAAATTTTAACAGGGAGTCCATACGCTGCTTTTCTTCAGACCTATTGAGCATTTGCTCCAGACAAGAGTGGTGGTGCTCACTTGCAGTCATTGATTGTGGGAAGGCTGAGTCAGAGGATGACAATTTGAAGCCATCCTGGACAAATTAGCTGCAAAAAAAGGGGTATTGGCTTGGTGCTTGGTGCTAAGGTCCTGGGATCCATTCCTAATCCCCTCGAAATAATAACAAAAATTAAAAGATAAAAGAGTTGAGGATGGACCTGTACCGATAGACTAAGCAATTTCATCAGAATACTTACAACAATAAATGTGACCAGCAATCACAAAGGATGTACATCTTCCTCTGAGGCTGTGAACAACTGGGAAGCAGCTAAATGTGTAAGTCAGATCCCTGATCACCATGAACCAGGCCCTGGGTTCAATCCCCAGGAACAGAATGAAGAAAAAAAAAGAAAATACTTGTTGTCACTCATCAATTCATGGACCTTTGGGAGACTGTATAAATTAGATGGAAATATTGCTCTGGTATATATACTGGAATAAAACAGCAGGTCTTACAGAAATATTGTTTTGGTTACTTTCTCATTGCTAGGCCAAAACACATGACATATATAAGTTTAAGAAGGAGAGGTTAATTTCAGCTCACAGTTTGTAGAAGTTCTGGTTCACATTCAACTGGCTCTAAGGCAGGGATTAGTGGCAGAGGGACTTGACAGAGGAAAAACAGTCCATGGTATGGCAGGCAGGAAACAGCAGCCCCAGAGATGAACATTTTTAATAGCATGGATGTATTCACCAAGAATTTCCTTTGCATAACAGCATGGAGATGTGCCCAATTACAAAATCCATCCTACTCTGAATTCAGTGTTTTCCTGTATGCTTTTCTTTGGCAATCAAATTTTCATAGTAGTTTCCCAATAAATAAAACTTATAATTCATAGTAATTTTCCCAATAAATAAAGCTTATAATTTAATAAGTGAGTCATATCCCATCACATAGATGTTCCTGAGTTTATTTAAGCAACCTCATGTAATTGACTTACTCATTTATCTGCTTCCCAAGCGTTCACAGCCCAACAGGAAGATGTGCATGCTTTGTGATTGCTGGTCACATTTATTGTTCCAGGCATTTTGATGAATTTATTAAATCTCTCTGTTCACAGCATAATAACTTTGGAAAGGCCCAGGTCTGCAGACACATGTTATGTTTAGGCTGAGAAAGGCTGTCACCCTCCTTCACAGCCCTGAAATTGGTAGTCAAGGACGTTAGAGCTTTTTGGTGAGAAGTACCTGCTGGTGCTTCTCACAGCTGGGTCTATATCAGGCACCAGATGCCGGAAGCCCAGCTTGGCCTCACCACTTGCTGCTGGCACTGTCTGGGCTCAGGAGAGGGGGTGAGCGCCTGCTCAGTATGGCAGATGATGGCTCTGATGTGGGGGGAGGTGGTAAGTTTGTCTGGGCTAGAGTCAGAACAGCATCACTGCCGCGTTGAGTCCACCTTCTATGTAGAGGCAGAGCATACACTTCTGCTGTGAGATTGTCAGACTGCCAAGTTACAGCTCTAAGGCACGGGAGGCATGGCACTATTCCCTCTGATGCTGTGGTCCCTGCTCCTGGCCTGCTGGACCCTCACTCCAGGTGAGTGTGTGCCGCTGCCTTCAGGGTCATGGTGATCAGGGACACAACAGATGTGAGGCATGGCTTTGTGTGTGTGGGGAGGCAGTGAGCTATTATAAAAGTGTTCACAGCTGAATCTAATTTCTTTGTGCATGGTTTTGTTTTCTTTTTTATTAAGGTAGAAGTTTTGATGTCAAATGTAAAATGTTATTGGTAGGGACAATCTAGAAAAAGTTGGGACTTGGCATTTAAAAGGAGGGCAAGCTTTCTAACCCTGTATCATTATAACAAATCAGAATCTTCTCTGTACTTCTTCTGTTCTTGTCCCTTAAGGCTCTGCTGGGGAGGACTCCCTGAGTCTCCTCAAGGGAGATACTCACTGTGAAGGCGTGCTGCATGTTGAGCATCGTGGGCAGCAGGGCCTGGTGTGTGGGGACCGCTGGGGCATGCAAGAGGCCTTGGTGGTCTGCAGACATCTCAAGTGCAGAAGGGCACTATACACACCTCAGCATGTTTTGATGCCCCAAGACATGAAGCCACCCTGGCTTTATGGTGCCCAGTGCCAGGGTGAGGAGGGCTCTCTCTGGAAGTGCTCTCTGGGTGACTGGGGGCCCATTACTGCCTGCAACTGCCAGTGTGTTGTAGTTGTCATGTGCTCAGGTAGGTTGGACTGTGTTGCTTGAATCTCCCACTTCCTAGGACCCCCTTCTGTTCAAGAGGTCTTGAAGCAAAGTCTGTGGGATGAGGGATGGTTTGGGTCAGATGTGACTGCCTCCTTTTCCATGGGATCCTTGGGCTTCTGGGGTTGCCTCTTGCTGCAGAAATGAGCTGTCAACTTTTCTTTTCTGTGCTGGATCTTGGTTCACAGTCTCCTGGAGCCCCTTTGCACTGATGTTTAATGATTCCTTAGTTTCTAAGTCAGTTGCAAAAATGTACTTCCTTTTGTTGTCCTGAGGTTCATCACTTTGAGATGCCTCCACCCAGGTTCCCCAAAAGATATTTTCTGTGCTGCGTACACTTTGACCATGATACACACTCCTGAGTGGAGGGGCTCCATCACCTCAGTTGTCCTGAGGGAACAGCAACCTTTTTGGAAGCAATGTAGGACCCCCAAAATGCTCTACTTTTAGGACAATTGCAGTCCATGCTCATCTCTTGCATGTGTGCTTCATGCAGAGGCTGACTGGACCCTCTCTGTCTTCCGTGCAATCAGGTGGCTTTTTGGGACATATTAGGCTGGGTGGAGGAGTCAGCCCCTGTGCTGGGACCCCTGAATTAGTGCACCCAGGGAAGACTACTTTGAGGTGTGACTTGCAAAAGAAGGAAGCAGACGTCATTTGCAGAGATCTGCAGTGTGGCAACGCTTTGCAGTGGTCCAGAGCCCACCCTCAAGGGCGCCTTCATGGCCAGGAGCAGAGATTCCTGACCTGTCAAGGAACAGAGCCCAGCCTTTTCCAATGCAAGGCCAACTTGAACTTTCTAGAATCATGTGACCTTCCAGTCTACACTGACGTGGTATGCACAGGTAAAGTCACCCCACCCAGAGTACTGGATCCTTTTTTGTGTATGTACAAATCAAGATATCTGCTCATAGCACACAGGCATTGTTAAGGGAAAGTTCTTTCTGTGGTGGCTGGCATGACTGTGCATTGCCCTCAGCAGTGGTGTAGGAGGTCCTGGAGCTCTCTCCTCTGAGGATGCTCCTGTGGCTCTGGCTGCTCTCCTTGGGGTTCCTGTCTAGCCTGTACCTAGGTGGTGAGGACCTAATTTGATGGTACTATCTACCTGTGTCTGTGGGGTGCCTGGGGCCTGAGTCTCTCCAGAAGTGAATGTTCTTCCTGGCAATCACTTTTGGAAGCCAAGGCAAGGGCTATGCAAGAACCAGTGTCAGGTTCTTGTTTTATAGATTCTAGGTCTTTCCTCTGGGTTCTGGCACTGTGAGGGCTAGGCCAGGCCAGGTGGTCCTGGGTCCTTCTTTTTATTCCTGCATCTGGGATTGGGTGCTGGGTTGTAAGATCTCTCAATCCCCATGTCCTATGAAAAATCTGTCCTGCTTTGGATACTCTTTTTCAGTTTCTTTTCTCAGGACACGTGGAGGCCCGGCTGGCTGGCAGTGAGGACCCCTGTGCTGGACGCTTGGAGGTCCGGCGGGGCCTGACCTGGGGCACAGTCTGCAGTGCTGACCTGGACCTGCCCACGGCCCACGTGGTGTGCCGGGAGCTGCAGTGTGGAATGGCCATATCCACCCTTGGGAATGCCCACTTCGGCCAAGGCTTGGGGCCTGTGTGGATGGAGGCCTTCCGTTGTGTGGGCAATGAGTCTCTGCTGTTCCACTGCCCGCGGGAGCCTGGGAGTCAGTGCACGCACCAGCAGGATGCCGGGCTCAGGTGCTCGGGAGAAAGTGAGTCAGGCCATGGGGTCCAGTGGGGTCTGGGCTGTGGTGTTGGTCAGGGGCAGGGGACTCTGAGGATGCTCTGCTGGGATGATTTTGGACAGTGGGCAGGGACAAAGCTCAGTTTGGCTTTCCTTCCCATTTCCTTCTGATTTGTATATGTTTTTTCTATCTTCTGAGAATGGTATATTCACTGTCCTTCATCCACATCAGATATTAGTGCTTGCTCTTTTGTTCCAGTGTTGTGACTTTTTTAATGTATTATATATAGCAGGCCCTTATTAACATGTGAATAGAAAATGTTCTCAGCCATTTGGTGTTTGTTTTTAATATTTGAAAATGTCCTTTAATACATGTATGATTTTAGATTCTTTTGGTACCAGGAATTGAACTCAGGACCTCACGCTTGCCAGAGAGGCACTGTGCCACTGAGCTATCTCCCCAGCTGGATTTAATTTTGATTAAGCACAACAACAAATTTTTTCTTTTGCTCATTTCTCTCTTGGTGTCATATCTATAAATGTAATTGTCAGTTCCACAGGAATGAAGATTCATTGCTGTGCTTTGTGCTAAGACTTTTGTCCCTTGTGCTTGTATCTGCGGCTTTGATCCATTTTGAGTTAATTTTGTATATGATATAAGGAAAGTGATAGCTTCAACCTTTCTATGTGTATATCTGGTTTCACAAGTACCATTTGTTGAAGAAATTGTTTCTTCCTCAATAAATGTTGTGACATTTTAAAAAATTACAGTAAATTACCCATATTAATTGTACAGATGAGTTGGGTTCACTGTGATATTTCTATAGATACGTATACAGGGCACTGATCATGTCTAACCTCCCTACTTCTATCATTTCTCCTCTCCACTCGTTGTCCGTTCCCCGACTCCCCCTCCAATCCCCTGTTAGTTCTCTTTTACGTTCGGGTCATGACTTTGTGTTTTGGTTTTCAGCTTTCACATGAAAAAGAATACCCACGTTACTTTCGTATGTCTGTCTGTTTTACTTAACATGATATCCTCTAGTTCTATCCATTTTCATGTAAATGTGAGGAATTCAATCTTCTTGATGATATAAATGTATAGCAGAGTCCTGCAAAGTGTATATAGACTTCAGGAACAGACAAACCTTATAAACATTTTAATATTAAGTTTATTGAGACATCATGAGATTAGTACAAGTTAACTTTGGCCCATGCAATTACAAGAGGTTCTCCCAGTAGTGCTCATTAGCTTCTTGATATAAATTAGTGAACTGCTGCTTGAGTAACCTTGGTCATTGTGATTGCCGCACATACATTTTCAATTTCTTCTCTAAGGGCTGGCAGCATAGTGGGTTTTCTGCTATACAAGACATCCTCTAGGGTCTCACATATGAGGGTAATACTATCTGTTGAAAGAACATATTATTTTTCTTTTCCTGAATTGTGTACCTTTTCTTTTTGGTGGATTCTAGATAATGTTTTCCACATCTATTTTATCCACTGATGGTCCTCAGGCTAATTTCATATCTTGGTTATTGTGAATAGTCACCTTACACTTTTTCAAGAACAGCTTGATGGTTAATGTATCTGTTTGATGGTTAATGTGTCTGTTTATTTCTGGACTGTATAGTAAATGATTATTAAAAGTAAGTCATTAACCTCTTCACTTCCCTCCATGTTGCTGGAAAGGACAGAACTTCAATTCTTTCTAGTGGCAGGATTATATTACATTGTCTATATACACCACATTGTTTTCTGTTTTATACACCATATTTTTTTTAACCATACCTCTAATCAATGGACACCTAGAATGACTGAAAATCTTGGTTACTGTGAATAGTGCTGACATGAACATATGAATACAGATGTTTCTCCCACATGTTTGAGTTCTTTTGGGTATACACCCTGTAGTGGCATTTTTGGGTCATATGGTAGTTCTGTTTCTAGTTTTTTTGAGGATCCTGAATCTCATTATCCATAGTGGCTATACTAATTTATTTTCCCATCCACACAACATGAAAATTTTCCTTTTTTTTACATTCTTGCCAGCATTCTTTATTTGTTGTCTTTTTGTTTGTGGTCATTCATATCATGGTGAGAGATGATATCTCATCATGTTTTGCTTTGACTTCTGCAATGACAAATGAAGTTGAACATTTTTCCAAATACCTATGAGTCATATACGTGTCTTTTTTGGGGAAATGTCTATATGGTAATTTACTGCATTGAACTGTTGCCCCAAACTTGAGTTGGTTTATTGCTGCTGAGTTGAGTTCTTTGTATATTATAGGTATTTACCCATTGCTGGATGAATAGTTTGTAAATATTTTGACCCATTCTTTCATATATCTCTTCACTGTGCCTATTCTTTGCTTTGGTGTGTATGTCTAGCCATCTTTGCATTCCTAAGATAAATCCCACTTATTCCTGGTGTAAAATCTTTTTTTTTATGTACTATTAGATTTAGTTTTCTAGTATCTTCTTGAAATTTTTTTTGCATATATGCTCATCAGAGATATTGGTCTGTACTGTCTTACTTTTTGTGTCCTTGTCTAGATTTGGTATCAGGAAAATGTTCATTTTGTAGAATGAGTGTGAAACTGTTGTCATTACATTTGACTATTTTGAGAAGAATTGTGTCTTGTTGTTATGTAAAGATTTGGTAAAATTTAGAAGTGAAGCCCTTTAGTCTTGGGCTTTCTTATGTTGGGTGACTTTTATTACTGATTCAACCTCATTAGTTATTATTTATAAGTTTAATATTGTAAATTATATGTTTCCATAAATCTATCCATTCCTTTCTGATTTTTGCAATTTGTTGTCATGGTTCATCATAGTCCCTAATGATCCCATGTGTTTCTAGTGTGTCAACTGTAGTATCTCTGTTGTCACATTTGATTTTATTTATTTGGGTTCTCTTTCTCTTTTTCTCAGCTAGTGTAGCTCAAGGTGTTTATGAATTTTGATTATCTTCTCCAAAATCCAAATCTTTGCTTCATGTATTCTTTGTAATGGCTTAAAGCCTGTTTGTTAGTTGTTTGGTTCATCTTTATTTCTTTTCTTCAACCAATTTGGGGTTTTGTTTGTTCTTACATTTCTTGTACCATGAAGTAAGTTGGAGATGTTAGTTGAAATAAATTTCTCTATTATGCATTTATTTATTGTTATACTAATGGTTGGACCCAAGTGTTTGTGGATGCTAGGCAAGGGATCCACTGCTGAGCTACATCCCTACCCTTTGTTATTATTATTGTTGGTGTTGTTCTTCCTATTAGTATTATTAGTATTAAGTTTTTGACAAGGTCACACTATGTTGCTCAGGCTGGTCTTAGTCTTGGGGTCCTCCTAATTCAGTTGCCTGAAGAGCTGACATTCCAAACATGTGACACTAGGTGTGGCTGTTTTTGTTTTTTGATGTATGTGCACACTTTTCCTCTAAGAACTGCTTTTGAGATGTTCTGTATGTTTGATTCCTTGTTTTTCTCTTTTTTTCTTCAGTATTTCTGGTGGTTCTGCTGTGTATCAAACTCTAGATCTTGCAAATGGTATATCCATCCCCTACTAATGAGTTATAAAACACGGCCTGCTCTAAGTTTACATATGTTGTACTGTTATTTTCATGTGTTTCAAGAAAATTTTAGAATTCCCTTTTAATTTCTTCATTCACCCATTGGCCATTCCATGCTATATCTTATTTAAAATGTCTCTGTACCTGCAGAGTTTCTACAGTTCCATGTTGCTGATTATTAGTTTTTTCCATTGTGACCAGGGCAGACACATGCCAAGATTTTCATTATTTGTAGTTTGTTCAAATTTTGTTTGTAGTTTAACGTATCATCTATTCTCAAATATGTTCCAAGTTCAATGAAAGGAATGTGTCATCTGAAATTGTTGAATGGACTGTCTTGTATATGTGTTAGTTCTCTTGGTCTAACTTATAGTTTGACTCCAGAGGTTCTTTGTTGATCTTTTGTCTGAATAATTATGCACACTGATGAAAGTGCAGCACTGCTATCTCCCAGTATTGTTGTGCTGAACCCTATGTCTCCCCTTGCATCAGTATGTTTGTTTTATGCAATTGTGTTCTCTGATATAGTCTCCTATAAACTTACAAACATTATATGTTCTTTTTGAATTGTCTTAATGTGTCTGAGGGAGAAAACAACATAGCATAATGTAGCCCTCATTATGCCAGCTAAAAAATGATTCCTCTCTTTGAATTTTAGAAACGTTAAGAAGGATGTTAGTTTTTTCTTAGTTGCTTGCTAAAATTCATTAGCAAAATTCTGTGGCCCTTCCCTTTCTTTTTTTGAGAGGGTTTTGATTCCAGATTTAATGTATGAACTTGTTACAAGTCTATTATGTTTTTTGTTTCCTATTAGGTAAGTTTAGTCCAAAATATGCTCCTATCTTTTAAGGCCAATAGTAATGTCCCCACTTTAATTTCTTATTCTAGAATATGAACCTTCTCTTTCATTTTCTTGGCCAGTGTATCTAATATGTTACTAGTGTTACGGATCTTAAAAAAAACCCCAATTTTCTTCCATTCATTTTATGATTTTTCTATTCTTTATATTATCTCTTCAATAATCTCTATATTTTCTTGCTTCTACTCACTTGATTTAATGTGCTCTTTTGATTCTAATTCCTCATTATGTAAAGATTAAAGAAGTTTATTAACTTGAGGCTATCCTTTTTACATGGAGGTGTTTCAAAAGAGCTAAGATAATCATACTACTAATTTCTATGAGATGATGGAAAGGAACAGTTAGTGCTTATATTGTTCAATCAATTTTGCATGCCTATACCTGGTAATCTGAGCAACTACTTTGAAGATACCAATAGGCAATATAATAACAATTGTTAATTGCCTATCATCTTGTTTTGAAATCTTTGTTTTTTTGTCTCTTTAAAATGAAAAATAAATGTAGGTGTTTGCAGCCACAAATCTTCATCTGAGCCCTACATAACTTCAAATTTCGCTTGTTGCGTTTTGTTTTCAGATATTTTGTCATTTCCTCTTGACCTGTTATTTGACTCAGTTGTTCTAGAAGATGAGTTTTTGAATCCTACATATTTGTGCACTTTTTCAGCTTTCCTTTTATTGCTGATTTCTAGTTTCACACATTGTGGTCAGAAAATAGATTTTACATGTTTTGCATGTTTAAAGTTTACTCATCTGTTATGACATAGTCTATCCTAGAGAATGGTCTTTGTATTGGGAAGAATCCACATGATGCTACTGGGTATTTTACTGTGCCTACTAGATCTTTTTGGTGGACAGTGTTGCTGTAGTCCTCAGTCCTGGCTGATATTCTGTCTGAATATTCTATCTATTGCTGCAAGTGAGCATTGAAGTCTCTAACTGTTATTATGGAATTGTGAGTTTCTGTTATCAATGTTGACAATTTTTGGCTCATATATTTCAAAACTGCTGTATATGTGCTTAAGTAGTTATGTATTCTTGGTGAATTGACTCTTCAATCAAGGTATGATGGTCTGTTTTCAAGCAGAGTTGTTTATTTACATCTTATTATGTCTGAAGTTAGTATCACCTTTCTTGTGTTTTGGTTACTATTTGTATTACTCCATTTTCCTGTCCAGTCACTTTCAACCCCTTTATGTCTTACAGTCTAAAGTAGGTCTGTGTAGAGAGCATAAAATTGGATCATTTTGTAAAATACCAATGTTGAAACTCCTTGACTTTTGATTAAAGATTTAACCCACAATAGTGACAGTAATTTTACACTAAGAATTACTTCTCCCTTTTTGTTGTTTTCTCCATGTTATTTCTTCCTTGATTGCATTTTATATGTAGTCCATTTGTTTGATGTACCATTTCATTCTTTTATTTCTGTTCTATATATTTTGAAGTTATAATTGACATATTAAAAGTTGTACATATTTTTGTGATAATGTCAAATTTGGTATATATACCAGTTTTCAAATCTGGGTAAACATATCTATACCCTCCAGAATGTATCATTTTTGTGTGGTGAAAGTCAAACTCTTTCCTATATATTGTTTGAAAGTATATAGTACAGTTCTGTACAGCAGAATACCACATTTATTTTTTCTTCTACAGTGTAATTTATACCCACTAACCAGGTTTTTCATCATTCTTCCCTCCTCTCTACTCTCTCATGACCATTATTTTGCAGTCAATTTTCTTTTTTCTATTTGCAACTTAGGCTTTATTTTTTCTCTCAAGTTTCCAATGGCTTCACTTGAACCATGCACACAGCATGAAGGAGAAAGCTTGCCACTTCAAAGGGGATACCAGCAGTCCCAGAGCCGTCTTTGTCTTTAGTCGCAGAGGTTTTGTGGGTCATTGAAGAGGTGAGATTGTAAAACCTAGCCTGTCACAAGAGTCTCCCATGTTAGCTGTGGCTTCCAGAGCAAGAATGAAAACGACGTAGAGCCACCAGGGCCAAGCTCCCAGCCTGGATGGAGTGGAGGAAAGACATCCTATGCCCTGACGTTGCTCTCAATTTTTCTGAGATAATTTTTTCAAATTCCACATGTGAGGTGAGATTGAAATACACGGTGAATATTTTAATTTTTAAAATTTATTACAGTAAATGACATATTGCTGTTAATCCCCTTCAAAATTCTCTCTCTCATGATGAATGGCCCTTCCATCCTGTCATTTTGCCACTTTCAGGCTCCTGTGACTAGTACTGCAATAAACATGGACTGGATATATTTGAAATTATTCTGTTAAGGTTACTTTGGGGAAGTCAATTAATATCTTAAATTTATAACATTGTATTGATATTAGCTTAAATTTAAAATCTAATGTGAAGATAACATTATGCAGTAATTATTTTTAATATCCTATGATACTGTTTTGAAATTCTGTATTATTGTTACTTTTTTGTTTTTTTCACTTTAAAATTAAAAAAATGAAAATTATGCCATAATTGCAGTCCCATATACTGTTGTCTCTACCTTTATGCTGCTTTCTCAAATCATACCTTTATATATTATGTGAATTTTTAATATAGACTGTCGCCCTTGTCTTTTGAAACATATGGGAGAATAGGAGTCATATGTCAAACACATTAATACTGATTTTGATATTTTCTTATGTAGTTACTTATGCCAGTATTGTTTGTTTTTTCCTCTGACTTCTAGATACTTCCTACAGTCCTATTCTTTCCACAGCAAAGACTTCCTACAGTATTTCTTCTAGGGCAGGTCCACTAAAAATGAATTCCCTTCAGGCCTTACTTTATGATTTTGGTGAGAAGTTGGCTGTTAATCTCATTGTAAATGTCTAGTGTGTGACAGTCTTCTCTTTGTTGCTTTGAAGAATCTGTTTGTGCACTAACAGTTTGTACATAATGTAGTTTTGTCTTTTTAAAGCTTATTTGTATTAATGTTACGAAGTTTTTTTCAATTCAACATTACTTAATACTTTTGCTTATTATTGTCTAAATGGACAAAAGAACAATTGCATGTTTAAGTGTACAACTTGGTGTTTGCTGTGTGTATTACATTGTAGAACAACTAAGTCAAACTAATTAACATATTTATTACTTACTTTTACCTTGTAATAAGAAACTATTTGTGCTGAGATGCTACTTTTTTGGCAATCTTTAATCGGTAGCACACTGTTACCTATTATGCTACACAGTGGCACTATTAATTTATTTCTCTTAGTCACAGTTTTGTACCATTTGAAAACATCTCTCTAATGTCTATTTGTTCCCTAACCGCATCCCCCAACTCCTTGAGAGCACCATTCTACTCTGCTCTAGAGTTTGAGATGCCTTATGTCAGTGAGATCATGTGATGACTACCTGCTATGCCAGGCAGCATAATAAAACAGAGTGTCTTCCCGGTTCATCCATGTCCTTAAGAATAACAGGATTTCCTTATTTTGTGTTACTAATTGGTATTGCACTGTGTATATAGGCCACATTGTTTTCATTCATTCATCATGGATTGACACTGAGGGTTTTCATATCTTTTGTGAATTGTGAATTCACATTGTGAAAAATGCTGGAGCGGACATGGGGGTGTAGATATTTCTAAAACATACTGATGTCATTTCTTCTGGATATATACCAAGTGGCTATAATGCATTTCAATGTAAATCTCTTGGGGTATCACATGGATAGAATTTGTTGAGCTTGATTGTGTAGAGTCAGGCATTTAATCAAATTTGGGAAGTTTTGTCGAGTTCTTTAAAGATTGTCCCTATCCAGTTTTTCTCTTTTTGCAGGACTTCTCTGGTGGATATGTTGGTAAGGCTGTTGATATCCCACAATTAATTTAGGCATTATTCATTTTGAATCATCTCAATTGTTCTGTCTTCACATTCATTGGTTTTTCCTTCTGTCTAATGACATTGAACCCCTCTATCATTCTTTTGAACCCCTGTAGTAATTATTTTTATTTTAGATGTTATACATTTCGACAGAAATTCTTTTTCTCTCCCTTTGACAATTGTCTGCTTATTGAAATTTTATTTGGTGAGATATTGCTATGTAGATATTTTCTGAACCTATGCTCATGGTTAGCTGTAGCACTTATAGCAGAATTAAGACAAGTGTTTTAATGTTTTGCCAAAAAAGCCCAGTGCCTGGAATTCCTTAGGGACTGCTTCAGTTATGCTATGCTTTAGCATGTTTTACCTGCTTTGTCAATTTGAGTTAGCCTGGATAATTTGAACATTGTGCTGTAGGAACTCTGGAAATCAGGTTATCCCTCCACCTCAAGGCTTCCTCTTATGTTTTGGTGGCTTGAACAAGCAACTTATCTAAACTCTTTTATAGAGATTCTTCTTTCTTTTGTGGCATTTGAGGTCTCTGTTCAGAAGCATAATTATCAGTGAGTGACTTGATTTCCTTTAAATGCCAGAGAAAATGTGATCTCCTAGTCTTTTTAGATTAATTCTGGGCTGTGACCACCGACTATTAGCCATGCCATTTAAACTCTGGCTGGTCTCACTTCGCGTGTGGCCAGTAGTAGGATCTCACCAGAGTTTTCCTGCATCCAGTGTTCTGACAAAGTGGAGTTTGACAGTTCCCACAGCTTAATCACTGCTTTAGTATAGGCATGGATATTGTAATTCCCTAGCCTAATTTTCAGCAGTAGCATGTTGCAAAGCTGTTCTCCTGCTTTCAGTTTGTGTCTGTGGAATCTGGGTGTGCACTACATATAAGAATTCTCACAACATCAGTGTCTCTGTGTTGGGTGTCTGGGGCCTCACTGACTCTGCTTCTCCCCCAGAGTTCCGGCTGGTCAATGGCAGCAGCCCCTGTGAGGGCCGTGTGGAGCTCCAGGTGCAGGGGACCTGGGCACC